ATTGGTTAAAGGTCTTCCTTAACGATCTAACAGGATAACAGAATTAATGACCAAAGCCTCTGACTGGTAGAGTACACACCAGGGTTGCCACCCATCCCGATCCTGCCGGGAGAATCCAGAATTTTTTCACTTGTGCCCGTGTTTATTCCTATGTTAATTCGGGGGGAAGGGGGGCCCGTCCTTAATTTTTCCCTAACCAAAGGTGGCAACCCTGGTACACAAACTGTACATTAGAATTTAAGGCGGATGCTGAGAAATTACTTGAGTTAAGCACCATATAGACAAAACATAAAATGTCATCCTGGTTTATTCTAAACTCCAAAAAGCTAGAGTCAGTTTAGAGGTCCCAGAATAGCGAATAGTGATGGTGACGTGGCTGCAGTCCAGTGTAAACAGTTAGTGCCCGTGTTGGCCCGATGTAATGCATTTTACACATAACCCCGCACATAGTTCATTCCTACTGGCAAACACACAATCATTTGTGATCAATTGCTTTCGCTAGGAATCGGCACCACCCTCTTTGGCATAAATCTAATGGACGCCCTTAGTGTTGGTTGTACCTGAAATAAATGTTGTTTAAGGATCTGTTGACAGCTCTAGATAGTAGGTATGTCTATTTCTTGCTTGTTTTATTATGAAATTAATAGTTGTAGTCAAAATACGTCTCATAACACATTTTTACATTTTTTTAGAAGGTAATACATACAAAAGAGGGTAAGTTGTGATCGATTTTGATTGGACATTCCAAATTATCATCAGACCCAATAGGCGAATGTCTCAAACATGACCCAACATTCCGATTTTTAAGGGTGGGTGGTGAAATGTACTACCTAAGCAGTGGACACGCAACGAGGCAAGTGTACAGTATTTGAGGTTGAAATGGGTAATAACAGACAAGCTATCGAGCTATGTAGCTTGGTGCAGAGTTTCAGACCAAGAATCACATAGTTAATGGTTTTTATAGTTGGGCTCCTGATATTGCTCGCCTGGTTGCTGGTTTGATCTTCAGAAAAGTCTAAATACGTTTAATGGTTAGAAACTAGACCCAGCTGCTCTTAGTCATTGGGATGTTAATAAATGGTCCTGGTCAACCAGCTGTCATCTCATCCATTCAACACTCACCGTTCAATCTTCACCTGATGTACCAGTGTTCTAAAATATTTCTACTCCAATAACTCTATGAACCCAGATGAATGTAAATGGCTTAAGACCTTGGTTTTGTATTAGGGGTTTCATAACACTAACACAATATCCATTCCATTTAATGAGCATCGCATAGCATGAAGAGATTGAATGAAACAGAGAAAACAGAGCTCAGATAACTAATGTTGGGTACTCAACAAAATCTTACACTGATATCATTTGAGTACACAATAATAGCCACTCAGTGAGATCCTGCTGACATAAAACATTTTGAAAATAATGAAACCTTATAGAGTTATGAGACCGGGTTGACACAGAATCAAGCAAAAGTTCAGAATTTGAATGCTAAAACTAGTATGATACTACCTAACCCATATTTCTGAATAAAAAAATCTTATTCACAAACCAATAACTTCACAGAACTAAGTAGTTTTACTGCTACCTTTAGGTACGGTACTACTTCAAATAATGTCCAACCAATTACTATTTCAACCAAAAATAACTAGAACTAACAACACTTCTAGGATAATAGTCTACTCTTTGTTTTGCAGTCTGGACAAAAATACTGAGTGAATTAAAATTAGCCTGGACAAAAGAAAGTGGAATGTTGTAGCGACAAGAAGAGGTCTGAAGATCGAATCCACTGTCAAATAGTTGGCTAAGCCCATGGTCTGCAGGGAAAGGAATCTCATTGTTCTAATTTAGATATTACTTCTACATCTAAATGAATTGTAGAACTACATAGTCTTTGGCTTAGATCTTATATTTTATAAACTTCCTGCACAGAAAAGTTCTCATATCCATGTGAGTAATCATCCATACCGTTAGTAAAGGAAGTAAATAAATTATCTGAGAATTACTTTGTTAATTTTTGTACAGTACCTAATAAAAAAAATATAAAAAATTTACTTTTTGATCAAGATTTTTTGATCGAGCTGTAGACCAAAAGGTAAATATCTACTTTAATTATATCACAGTTCAGGGGCTAAAACATGGATTTCAATTAAAAATATATTCAAACGTGTCTACATTTTTGAACACCCATTAGGCCTACATACTGTGGATGCAATTTCAAGACTGTCAGAACAGACAGTTAACAAATTTCTCAATTCTATTTTTTTTAACACAAGTCTACTTATGGGCAATAAATGTCACAACAAGTAAACTACAACTATTCATGTTATTTTTATATATTATCTGTAACCTTTAATAGCACAACAAAGCTTCAATGTACACTATTATTTGTTTTTTTAGCACTACACGAAGGCTGTGAATTAAAATTGGGCATTTTGACGTATTAAGGGTACAAATTGGGAAAACCCATTTTTTGGAAAAATTCCCTATGAGGGAAACTTGATGAAATGCTTAAGATGTGCAGACTTTATAATTTATTATTCACTAGCTGTGTACCCGTTCTACGCACGGGGATCTTATAGTATCAGTTGAAACCTTCTTATATAAAGAACAGTAGTTGGTTTGCATATTTTCAGATATGCTGGCCAAACTATTTATTATACATAACTTCATTTTATGTCGTTTGTTGTTGTTCCGGATCGGTATGACAATCAATAAAAGGCTAAATTACCTGTGTCCGCCGGTCGATCCTAATGTATCCTATTACAGGAGATGCATTTCGGCGAAATTAAATCGCCATCATCAGTCCTATATATAAGATCTTAAGCTTCCCCATTAGGTGCATCTTGGAGTTTTTGAAACACATACACGAACTGTACACTTATACACATAACGAATAAAACATAAATACACGGTAGGCCTACTTTTATTTTTACTATGGACAAGTAGACGCGCGTCGGTCGTGTGCCGAGTCTTGACTGAAAACGCTCATTTAAAAAATGTAAGTTTCCCAGCAATATACAACACTGATTCAAGGTCTATTTCCCGGTTATCAAAACTCAAGAACAATTTTATGCACAAAGAATCTCTATTTTCATTTACTGTTACCCTACAAATTATTGCACTTGCGATTAATTAAATCCGTTATGTAAGGAAAAACGTTTTTAATCTTAAGTGGTTTGGATTTGCTTTCAAAACGTGATCGGAAATGGTTGCGGTATTTGTAAACAACATTCAATGTAAACATATCAGTGACAGCTAGAAGAAATAATCTTGATTTGAACAGCTGTTCGTTATTTCATAGAAGAATATGTGCTAAACATTGGGAGAAAACTTTACAAAAATCGCACAAAATTGGGTTTTTAATTGTCCGTCATTTTATGTACAAAGTGGTGACGCCATATTTTAATGGCTAAAGACAATCTCGCCAATTCAGTGAATGCATTAAAATGATTTGGAACTTGATAGGTACTCTCGTTTTTCAGGAGTAGGCCGCGTAAAATGGCTCTTGGGTCGTAACAGACTGGAAGACGGACAGAAATTTAGATGAGACTTGTTTCGGTTTCTCTAATGTATAACACGTAAAAATAACCTAAAAGTTTATGATTCTGAGCAATGTACAGACAAAACTCTAATTTTATTTATATAGATTTTGGGATATTTACTGCAATAACATTATTATTAAATTAGGCTAGTTTTTTTTTTTACTTATACTATGTGTACATTCCAAAAACTTAATGTAGCTTGTCTGAATCAGGTGTTCCAAATAAAAACAAGTAACTTTACTTGTGCTCTGCTATAGATATGACCACAGAATATAGGAAAATGGATTCCTTTGAAATTACAGTAGAAAAAAGTTACAGTATCATAACTAACTAGTAAAATAGAAAAGACAGACAGAGATGAAGCTTTTTTATAGGAGTATAAATTTGTTGTGTAGCTTCTTTTATCCGACCTAAAATATCTAAATCCCAGTACATGTTTTAAGCTGTTTTAATTTCATTTGATCTTTTTTCATGCTATAACAGTTTACTAAATTATTAAGATAGAAATTGGATATAGGAGATTTCAGTAAAATAGTTAGTATTCCCATACTGTTCATCAGACAAACCAGATAAAATTGAATATAGTCTTGTCCAACGGCCAAGTCAAGAAAGTTCACTGGCAAGAGTCCCTTATATCGGATACCCAAATAGCCGTATTGCCCTGCTGCTCTACACTAACTTTCTGTTCAGGGGGAAAATACACTTTGGGGTACCATAATAAAATGTATAGCCAGTAGATTTTCTTGTGCTTACTATTTAAACAATTATTAGAGTATGAAGAAAAAAAAACATAAAGGTTACGTGTTAATTTAATGATACTGTAAAAGTCATATTTGCATCCAAAGTGTTAAAATTAAGGAGCCTACATAATGGGTAGCAAAATACAGTACGTAGGTTTTGACTACGTACCTGGTTTGGATTGAAATGTGTTCATTAAGTCGAACTGTAACCGTCCTAACTTGGTTATTTTATAAGGGTATTTTATTCATGCATTAGGCTAAAAATTACTCTTATCATAATTAAATTGAGAATAGTTAAATCAATGAAAGCAACTGCTTTGATGAAATAAGTGATAAGGATGTTACAGAAAATTTTTAACAACTGAAGTTTTCAGTTTAATAATAAATAATTTACAAGTGGTTTGTAGCTTTTTGCTTGTCCGACCTTTTTTAGGCAGTATGCAAACCTATTGCTTGTAAAGTAGTATACTGCCTCCTTATAGGCTAATTAATCTCCGTCGGATATAAAAGTCATATTATAAGACCTTACAAGGAAAGGTAATAAAGATAATCTTGTTTAAATAGGTAAGGCAAAAAAATCAAGGTTCCTTTAAAATGTGTTGGTTCCAGATTGAATAAGCAATGTTCTAAATCCAATTTCCAAGAAAAAAATGTATACAAATGCCTTGTTATTGCCATGCTCATAATTTGAAGGTGATACCGTATTGTTCTGTTACAGAGGGAGTGGAGGGCTGGGGTATCTCTACTGTACCGTCGGAGAGTGAGTGTAGACCTTACATAGAGAAGGCCCTCAAGGAACACGTACCAGAGTCCCCACAAGGTAATAATCATCCATCACGTACAATCGACACATAGTTGCATTTACTAGTCCTAGCCACTATATAGTGCTCTCACGCATTATCTATCTTTACTACTCAGTTGAGGTTGAGCTAATAGGTCTATCCTCAAAATAATATGGTTAGTGTGGTTAGTACAGTACAGTAATTGTTTGATAAAAAAAAATAACAATACAAGCTGCTCATGTTTTGTTGCTCCCAAAAAGGTATTTTAGTTGTTGAACTTATATTAGTGCATGGTGCACTATGTACATTTTAAATGTTAAAAAATAAGTGTTGTATGTTCTTTATATTTGATTTATTCTTTTTGGATTCGACAAATCTTGACTAAATAACATTTTGTAATATAACATTTTGTCATCACATAACATTTTTGTATAACATTTTGTCATAAGAGTGTTAATTTTAATGTGAGGACAAGTGAAGGAAGAGTGTAGAATGAATGATGCAATACTGACTGAGATGAACTGGATTATTTGCAAGAATCATTTACTAAAAACCTAACAATGAAGGATAGTTTAACAAAGTTTTAAAACATAAAAAACATTGCCTTTTTAAAGTTGATCTAGCAACCTTCCGTTTATTACCCCAGCACCAGACCAACATCAACAACAAACAAAACATCTTACAATTAGAATGATACAGTATTTTGAAAAATAAACAACGCATACAATGATTTATAGCTCCTAGGACATATTTCTTAGATAGGGGTTTTAGTTAACATTCTTTACTAACTCTTTGATAGTGATGAAAGGTAAACAAAATGTAAAGAAAATTAATTTTCATTTATCAGTATTAAAGTTCACTAATTAGGCAGAAATTAATTTAAATTTACATGTACAGAATTGGTTTAGAATTTTCCTTTCATGTCATAAAAATAATTTGCATTAGAGGCAGGGATTGTAGTTAGTTGTGTCTGTTATAGAGGCAGTAGATGCAACGGGCTCTGAACATGCGACACCCCTCTCCTCGTCAACCGAACAGGCAAGTCATTTATATAAGTGAGAATGTCATAATAACAGTAGTAAAAAAAATCCCATATTCGATATAAATTTGGGCATAGCATAGCCCAGATTTAAGAGCAATGCTCAGGCCCTACACTGCTGAAAAGACACAAAGTATTAACTGGATCCTACCAATTTACAAAGTTTCTACTGTAGTACAACTTAAGATGAAAATAAATCAAAGTGCCTTAGTTTGCATTTTTTCTCTTCAAATCCGTTTTCAGAACAATAGTTATTAAGGCGAATTCTCCTTTGATGCCATGTACCTATGTTTAAATAAAATTAATTAAGGAACGATACGAGTGGGGCTGAATGCTGAACTTTTGAGGCCCTGCATACTTCAAAAGTATAATGTAATCTTTATAGAAATGAACTATTAACATTAAAAAGTGTGAACTGTTTTACGTAGATGTAACTATTAGAAATGAACTATTTAAATTAAAAAGTGTGAACTGTTTTACATAGATGGAACTATGTACAATGATTGAAAGTGAATATAACACATTAATTTGTTTAGGAAGGATCGATCGAAGAAACCGAAGAGGCTACTACGAAAGAATCCATAGAAAATGATACAGGGGATGAGGCTGAAAAACAAACTGAAGGAGAGTCAGCAGAGACAACTGAGGAAAGCATTGAGGATTCTCAGCAAGCAGGAACTGGAACAACATCAGAGGAGGACGTAGCATCTGCTGAGGAAACAGCTGCAGAAAGCACAGAGGGCACGGAGTCACAAGAGGGCGCACCAGAGGAGGAAACAAAGGCTGAAGAAAGTTCAGAAGCAAAAGAAGAACCAATTGACAGCCAAGACTCTGTAGAGGGAGAGCAAGAGTCTGTGGAAAACAATGAAAATACAGAACCTACTTCAAGTGAAACTGAAGAACAAGGAGGGGACCAATCAGCGGAGACACCTGATGAAGGCACAATAGACACGACTGAGGAGGAAGAAGCACAAAGTACAGAGAAACCCCAAGAATCTACGGAACAAAATGAATCTTTAACAGAAAGTGAAGAGCAACAAGAAGAGACAAATGAAGAGGGAGCGACTAGAGAAGTAGTATCAGCTGAAGAGACTAAAGAAGAAACTACAGAATCAGAAGAGAAGACAGAAGCAACAGAAGATGCAACCACATCAACTGAAGAACATGCAGAATCACAAGAGGAAGCTGAAAACGTAGGAGGAGAAGTAACAGATTCTACAGAAGCTGCCGAATCTGCTGAAACTCAGGAGACTGAGGTAGTTCAATCTACTGAATCTGGTGCTGGTGAAGTGGTGACAGAAAGCTTTGAAGAAACTGTTGAAACTACAGAAGCATCAGCAGAAGAAGCAAAACCAGTATCAACTGAGGAAGAAACACCAGCTTCTATTGAAGAAATTTCAGAAAAAGAGGCACCAGTTTCTGTGGAAGAATCTTTAGAAGCAACTACAGAGACAACTGAGGAAGGATCTGCAGATGAAACGTTGAAATCAGTGGAAGAGACAGAAAAAGATTCATCAGTTGAAGCACAAACAGAGGAAAGTACAGAAGCAAGTGGAGACACTGAAACAAGTGCTTCAGAAGAGCAACCAGCAGTGGAAACACTAGTAGAAGCTGAAGAATCCACTGAAAAGATAGAAGCAACACCGACTAGTGCTGCTGAGAGTGAACAAGAGTCAACTGAACAAACTGAAGGTAATATAAAAAGCTACTAGTATAAGAATAGTTATATATTTCATATTTCTGATCCAGTGGTTTGGGCGAAGGACTTCTGTCCTGATCACCCAGGTTTACATTTTGTAGTTTTTAAATTTGCCATGAGACAATTAGGTTAAAAGCTGTTAGTCTCTTGGGCAGGTAAAAGCCAACGCAAAATATACAGTACACACTTACAGGCTAGTCAAATCATTCATTGTGGCTAGCACTTGTACTTCATCACTACTACTCTTCCTCATTAGCACTTATCATCTTATCTACAGATATGTGTAGTTTTTGTCCCTTTTTAACTGCCTGTTAGCATTAAGCAGCTTATGACGGCCGGGATTCGGACTCTTGTTGATGTAGAAAACCTCCGCCAGTCTCGACGGCATCCTTAGATTGTGACTGTTGGTGTTTCTTTACCCTCCGCTTTTAAAGCAGACTCTCAGTGTTCAGCAGACCCTCTGACCATAATCATGACGATCCCTGGAGGTGTCCCAGAACAAGTCGACCATGTCATCTTTGATAGGGTAGTTAAAAACTTCTCTTACACTTTTCACTACACAAGAAATTTTCCTCAGCTGCTATAAGAATGCCCTGGATCTCAAGAGCATTCCGATAGAGTAATGTTCTGAATGAAAAAAAAATCCTTGACTCAAGCGCTGACACTTGCTTTTTGAGTATTGCATTTTAAGTGTTAAGCTCTTTTACGATCAACATCCAGGATGTCAATTCTTCCCTCTGCTGTTTAATACTTGCCTTTATTTCAGCAATCTCTTAATGGCAAACATCTAGGTAATCATCGTGCATTATGATTGTGCATCGTGCATCGTGATTATATAATACATTTCTATTCCAATATAACCTTTAAACTTAATATGATATTCTGCTTTCAGTGAAAAAACTAAACTCTTGATGCAGATTTCAGAACATGTATTGATGCTAAGAGCTTATATGGATGAACTTAAAATGCTACATCTCTTTTATAGACACACAATTTTGTACCACCTCAAGATGATATTAACGATTGGTGTTTCAGAGCAGGAGCAGCCTGTGGAGCAAGAAGAAGCTATCAAGGAGGCAGCTCCTACTATAGAGGATCAACTATCTTTGGTGAGTGTACTTCATGAAATGCACATAATGTGTGATAATGAATTTTGAAACACTTATGCAACAGCAATGCAGAATAAGCATAAGATCCTACAGGTTAAATTAAAACCCTTAATACATTTTTTCAATTATATACCTGAACTTCTTATCAAAACAGAAACTGTGTTTGTATTTTTTTTTACAATTTGTATGCAATTTATAATACCTCCTACTGACAGTACTTTTTCCTTGGGGTTCTTAAGATAAATAAGTAGACAGCCCAGACCTAGGTCTTGCCATGAATACAATGTTATTAGCTACTATAGTGAAATCCACTACACTAGAGCTTTGTTTAGTTTCCCATTGTTACAATTTTCTAAAAGACACCAGTTATCTTAACACTCTAATCTTGCTGGGTAGGAGTTTGAAGTGCCTAAAGTACGACGGCAGAGGGAGCACATATCTGAGATACTGAAGCTGACACCTGAGTCTGCGGAGGTGGAGATGTTGCTGGCCAAGACAATCGAGAGCACACTCAAAGAACTCAAAAAACTGTACGATTCAGCAATCAAGCCTCTAGAGATACTGTACAAGTACCGCGACCTGAGCAACAGGCACTTTGGAGGTGAGTTCAAGTATTGCAGGAGTTAGAGGCTGTTGGATGATAAAGTTTGCATGTTTTCAACAAAAAGTATAGTGAAACCAAAGTTTTCAGGGATCATAGTTCCGTAGAAATTGACTCAGTGTTTTTACACAACAATAATTTGTAACCAACATAGATAAAAGATGAAACAGGCAGCTAATAATAATAAACTACTTAAAAGTGATGGACAAATTAATTAGGCAATAATAACTTTTTCATAATCATAAACTGATATCTTGGATTACACGAAAAAAATATGAAAGTTTACTGAAGCTAAGAAAATTTAACAAACAACAAAAAATGGTGGGTGAAAATTTGGCTATGAGCACAAATCAGCAGCTAAATTTTTTTAAGCCTTTTCAAAAGAAATCTAATTTTGCCTAAATTTGTCATAGTTATTGCTTTACAAAAATGGCATTGAAAACTTGCTATGCAAGAATATATTATTGAAATAATTGCAACTACATTATGGTAGATGAATTTTGTTTGTTTTAGACCCAGAAATCTTCTCTAAGCCCTTGATTTTATTCATGGGACCCTGGAGTGGTGGCAAATCTTCACTCATAAACTACCTTCTTGATAATGAATTCCAGGCATCTTCTTTAAGGACAGGTAATTTAAAACTTTATTCTTTGTGTGTTAAACGATTTCACACAGCATTGATGCCTTAAAAATAATAAATTTCTTGACTGGTAGTTTATGAAATCGTATCCTTGAGAACGTTTGTTTGACACTTCAACATTTTACGTTGTTCATACCATTAGTTATTATGTACAGATGCTCTTTTTTAGATTGGTGACAAATTTGTTTAACAGTGCATATAAAACATCATCTCTACTTAAGGTAATATTTAAATCAAGTGAAATTGTAATTTTTATTCTACATCACAAGTAAGGCTTCAATAATCCCACATTCCTTAACATAAATATCGTGGTCTTTAAGATAAAACCATGCCGTAGTACTCAAAACTGATGTTTCAGCCTCATTGGAGATGGCCATTTTCAGAGCAGTAAAAGACAATGATGTTGGAATTTCAGCTAATTCATCAGCAATATGACACTGCTTTGACACAGAAAGACCATGATATTGCAGTTTACTTACAATTCTTTGAACTATGCTGGCTTTACTAACCAGCTCATATTTTGATCCAGTAGGTACCTAAGTGCTTCTCATTTTTTTTTACAAGAAATTTAGAAGTAACATTATTTGGATACAATGTTTTAGAGATTATGTTTAAAAATTCCTAAGGAAAACCTGTGCTATGAGTGCTGATTAACACAATCAAATTACAAAAGTTTCAAAAACTAAAAATGATTGACCAGGATAATGTAATCTTAACCAACATTGTTGATACAGGTGCTGAACCGTCGCCAGCCTACTTCAACATTCTGATGTGGGGAGAGCGGGAGGAAGTATTGGATGGAACACAACTGGCTGCAGACTGGACCTTCTCTGGGCTACAGAAATTCGGACAAGGACTGCTCGACCGACTGAGGGGACTCAAGCTAAATAACCCATTGTTGGAAAAGGTACGAATAAAAAAGGAAAAGGTTATTAAATAAAATTTAGTATAATCAATGTAATACTCCGCCCCAGCAAACCTGCAGACTAAGCGGCCTGAATTGACTGGGACGGTGGTGTCGTCCTGTAATCCAGCTGTAATAGAAGCTCTTTGAATCGTATCTATGCATTTAATCGGAAAAAATGCTGCATTGCACACCCCTAATTCTTTTCCAACAAATGTATCACAGAGTGCACCTCATCACATTGCTGTTTGCAATGAATGTGCCCATTTTATTAAAACTCCACTTCAGACAAAGCACAATATATATAATGACTGCAGAGCAGGAATGCTATGATTCTAAGCTGGAGGTGATAGTCCCAACGGTGCTGTTGCAAAACGTCTGTTACTTTGTGGATGACCCTAGTATGATGTTGCCAGATTGTATACAATTTATCCGTCCTTAATTTTAACTCTGAAAGATAACCATATTATAGTTTTAAACAGTGAATTATGATATACCTGTTGGATTGCTACACACCATAAAGCTTTCTATAGACTTTCATAAACTTAGGCCTACAAAATTCCTTTGGCTATTAAGTTAGCCCACATTGAACTTGAAGTCATTCCTTTCTTAATAAAGATAATTCCTAATTTGTGTTTTATTTCTGTTTAATAAGGTAAGTTTTTATCTTAATCTTATAACTATGAATTATTGAATAAAGAGATTTGGTATGTTACAATATAAAATTTATTAATGAAATACAAATATAAGATAAGTTATTAGTTGAACTAGTTACAGGGTAAGTTAACAATGGTAAATTTTCAAAATGGTGGGGTTCCAAAGTGGATGAAAAGATTCTCTAGGCTTAGGCCTATATTGGGTTGGTTTCTTCTTAAGTACTAATTAATATTCAAATAGATGACCTCTTAATCTCAGGGAGGGGTGGTCGTGCCGGTTCGAATGATATATTAGGCTTCTTTAAAATGCAAATAATTTAATTTAGTTATTGTTCTGAAATAAGTTAAGCTAGGTTCATGATGCTATTAATATAATAATGTTAATGTCCAAAGAAAGATTCCAAATGGTTTCACTGAATTTAATGAAATAAAATAGAATTTGAAGATTAAATTTTGAATAAAAGTTCAATTTGAAATATGTATATCTTGATGAGTTTAAGGTTGATTGGGCCTAGTAGGCTATGCTGATTAAATGTCCAATGAAGATTAACTTAAATTTGTCCTTAGTTAAACAAGATGGATGATGGTTACCAAATTTGGAGTGTCTGTCTTCTTATAAATTGGTACTCTTCAATGCACTTGTCCAATACTTTTGGATGATGAGAAATTTAAATTTTAGGTTTTACTTTGGGATTATGAATTTTAGTTTAAATTAAACACAATTTCCAATAGAATGATGTTCACACTGTGAAGAGTTGGCAGGATCTGGGGAGAGGCAATGGTAGAAGCTCAGGAAGTCCATGTCCATTGTTGAAGTGATGTACAGCTGGTTAATTTACATGAATGACACTTGCCACAGTAATTTTGATTTTCTTTGGATAATTTTGAAAAATAATACTATATTTAAGATGTTATTATTATATTGCAATTTTCTTACAATTCTATATTATTCTAAATAAATGATTATTGTTGGTTTTTGATGAGTACTTAATAGGTATGGAGAGAATTTGCATAAATATTATATTGTAACATAAAATAGGATGATGTTTCTGTGAGGTGATGGGATATTATATAACATTGAACAAAATTGGATAAAATAACACATTAACAAGAGGAACATATTAAATAACTGATAACACATTATCAGGGGCATTAACAGACATTATGGGAGAAAATATACAAAATAAAAGAGAAATTAATGTTAATGATGAATGAATGACATGTAATATTACAAATTATCCCCACAGAAATCTGTATGCTATGAAATGAAATACAGATTTCGACAAAATATGAAATGGAATCATGAATCATTAATATGAATGATACTTAAAGATAGGTATGAATAACATTAAATGATTGATTTTCTGGATGAGAGAACATTGGGTGATAATACAACAAAATTATAAACTAAGTTAACAAATGTGTAGGACAATAACATTAAAATGGGAGAATAGAATAGAGTGTTCATGGCCTGGCATGGGAAGAAAGGGATATTATGGCTGTTGTTCCATACTGTTCAATATCAAATAACTTTATTGTTTCTTTGTTATTAAGGAGATTACAGTTTATTAGTAAGTGAGTATTGTCTATAAACCTTATCACTTGGGTATTAGTTTATGGAAAACACAATTTATGGGGTCACGCACTCGCGATTAAGGTCCATGGCACAATTTGGTTAGAGATGATGATGCACAAAAGTCTATTGATGGATGAAACACATTATGAAATTTATTGATGTACAATGTCTTCGAAGGTAGGGTCATCATTATCTATCTCGTCGATCACAGCTTCTATTGCTCGGGTTGGTTCCAAATATTTCTTAAGGGCTGATATATGGTAGGGGCCGTATAAAACATCTTCATCTTCTTTCGCTGGTATTTATTTAACAAAATGCTTAATTTTTCACGTTCCTCTGCGGTTTTATGCGTATTTGTTGCTAGGGAATAATCTATTTCTTCTTGGGTTAATGTTTCATCTTCGATTGGATCTGTTTTTCTATTTTTGAAGTTATTTATTGTGCTATTAAATTTATTATATATTGGATCATCGTGATATACATCAAACGTTTCATCATTAAAATATTCATTATTTGGCCTATGGCTATCATTAATTATTAAGTGACATATTTGTCCCTCTTGGTTGCACATACAAAACTTCAAAGTAACATTGTGATTATTTATCTGCATATCTATTTCATTTGTGTTGAAATTCAGATCCATTTTAAGATTAGACAAAACATCTACTCCTAATATTATAGGTTTTATTAGATTTGGTACAATAAGATATTCCAATGGCAAGGTGTGTTCTGCAATTGTGGTGGGAACGTAAATAATTCGAGAGACTCTTTTAGATCGCTCATTTGTAGCAGTTTTGATTACTGTGTTATTAACTGGAAATTCTTCAAATGGTGAAATTTTGGATTTGTTTTCACTGAACCAGGATTCTGATATACAAGTTATTGATGAACCAGTGTCGACTAATGCGTTTACTCTAATATTATTAAGTTTGATGCTAATTTCTGGGCAACTTATTTGAGTGAAATTTAGAGATTGATTATTTTCTGAATCATTTTCTAATAAGAAGTTCTTATCACACATTATACTTTGGGATTGAAGATGATTTATTTCATTACCGAGACTTTCATAAATAGGCGCTGTAATTTTAGAGTTAACTAATGATAATTGACCCTCTCGGTTGTCGCTTACAGCGCCGAACCGTTTTCCTGTATATATGGTGCAGGATGAGTCTGTGGCTCGTAACTGTGTGATGATTGGTTATTTGGAGGAGCACTAGGCACGTAGTTATTTTGCCTCATTACTGCGCAGAGCTGAGCTTGTTCTTGGGTTGGGTGGTTTCTGTAGGTCCGTTGGTTGTGGTCACCGTTACGTGGAGGATATCTGTCTCGTTGATATGGTTTGTTTTCATGGTTTCGGTCGTAATTAGGATGATTGTAGTTAGGACGGTAATTTTGATGATTTGGATAATTTCTGTGTTGGTGATTGTTGTTGTATGAATTGTTGTGATATGAAGGTATCTTGGGTTGGTACGCTCTCTGATTCTCGTAACGGCCGTTTTGATGATAGGTGTGTGGTTGTTGATTTGGAGTTGTCGGTCGGTTGTTGGATGAGCTGTTGTGATTCTGGTTGTTGGTACGTGTCTTCTTCGGTCCTTCTTTGAGATCTTCACGTTGTAGAAGACTTTCTAAGGCACGTACGGTGGTGATGTTTTGTACATTGATGCAGTCTTGTATGATGGAGTCAAATCTCTCTGCCATCAGTGTCACAATTTCTTCTTCGGTTAGGCAAGGGCTCATAGATTGGAGTGAAATTACACGTTCTGTAAGGTATTCACTGCGGCTGAGGGTGCCATTTGACCGGTATTTTTCTGATTCGATTTTGGCTCTTAAGCTGCGTTGTACTTCTCTTGACCAGTATTTAGCTTCGAATTCGTTGGAAAATTGTTCCCAGGAACTTAAGTCAGTCTTTACAAGTTGTAGCCATCTTGAGGCGGGACCTTCGAATGAAGTTTCTAGCAGGTCTTTGAGATATTCAATCGGGTCATAATTGCTGTTTCGCTCAAGTCCTCTGTCGTAATATCTTTTCAATTTATTAAGATATTCTTTTGGGTTGCCACTTCGGCCGTTGAATTTTGGTATTTGTCGGTCTTTCTCTTCATTTCCATTGCATATAATTTTGATTGGGCCTTGGAAGTTTTCAAATGTTTTGCTCTGTTTGAGGGTTTCCACTTCTTGTTCACATTTAGTCAGATTTTGATTTAAATTTTGGATTTCAGCTTGCTGAGATTCTAAAGTTTTGTTTTGGATGGTGAGTTTTGGGAGAATTTCGTTTTGTATGATGGCCAAATTAGCTTTAGAATTCTGTTCGGATTCTTGCCTGGTTCGTTGAGAAAGTTCTTCAATTTTTTGGTCAAAATTCTGTTCATGCATTACCAATTGTGTTTTGACAGCAGATAGGATGTCATTTTGTCTCTGTTGATTTTTATTATCAGATATTGATTGTTGTTGTGTAAGATTATCAATGACGAATTGTCTCATTTGATCTTGTGATTCATCAATTTTTTGTGTGAGTTTCTCGTTGAGTTTAATCATTTCCTCAGCTTGTGTTGTCTGAGTGATCTTAATTGAGTTTATTTCGATCTGGAATTTATTTTGACTTTCACGATTTTCTGATATTTGAGTTTCTAGCGCGGTTCTGCAAGCTTGAATTTCTAGGCTATTAGCATCAATTTTATCATTGAAGCTTTGAGTGAGTTCAACTTTTAATTCATTGAGTTTGCTGTTGATTTTACTGTTAATTTCGGCATGGGATTCGTTAATTTTGCTGTCAATTTTAGCATGGGATTCGTTAATTTTGCTGTCAATTTTAGCATGAGATTCGTCAATTTTGTTGCACAATTTAGTGTCTAGTTTAGTCATGAGGGCAATTAAAGTATTAATATCTGATGGTGCAATTAGTGTTGATGTGACAGTTGCTGTTGCACCGACAGTTGCACTAGGGTTGTTCCGTTGCCGTGTTGTTAGGTCGTCTGGGTCTGGGTGACGTTCGTCGGCGTCGGCTATGTTCGGTAACGATCGGCTGTGTTCGGGTGCGGGTGTCTGGGTTATTGATCCGCTAATGTGACCTTGGCTATCACCTGGCATTTTGGAAACATTCAGACTTTGTTTACTGGACAGTTCAGTGGCAACATTTGCAAACAGACTTGTAGGAATGGGAATACTAGTGTCTGATTGGTCCATGGACTCGTTGCTTTCTTCCTCTGTGAGTTGTGATGTCTGCTGTGGATGTGTTTTTTGTTCTGTGTCCGTGCGTGTGATGTCATCAAAATGGCGACCTTCTTCTTCAATCTCGCTCTCGCTGTCAGTGTTGTTGTAGTCGTAATTTGGGTTTAGGTTAGAATTTTTACGGTTGGGTCTTAAATTATAACCTTTCTCGGCCATGATTAATTATTGTGCGAATTATGCGAATTGTGCGTGATTAATTAGTGTTTTGTAAAACGGCTTTGTGTTGTTATTGGGGTTGGGAATATTAATTACGGGTCGTACAATAGGCTATGGGTTCTTACAATCTAGTACAACTTAAGGTTCAAAGCTTAGATCGAAAATTGCAATATTTTATGACTACCGTAATATATCATTCGAAAGCCGACACGTTGGGTCGCCAAATTTGCTACACACCATAAAGCTTTCTATAGACTTTCATAAACTTAGGCCTACAAAATTCCTTTGGCTATTAAGTTAGCCCACATTGAACTTGAAGTCATTCCTTTCTTAATAAAGATAATTCCTAATTTGTGTTTTATTTCTGTTTAATAAGGTAAGTTTTTATCTTAATCTTATAACTATGAATTATTGAATAAAGAGATTTGGTATGTTACAATATAAAATTTATTAATGAAATACAAATATAAGATAAGTTATTAGTTGAACTAGTTACAGGGTAAGTTAACAATGGTAAATTTTCAAAATGGTGGGGTTCCAAAGTGGATGAAAAGATTCTCTAGGCTTAGGCCTATATTGGGTTGGTTTCTTCTTAAGTACTAATTAATATTCAAATAGATGACCTCTTAATCTCAGGGAGGGGTGGTCGTGCCGGTTCGAATGATATATTAGGCTTCTTTAAAATGCAAATAATTTAATTTAGTTATTGTTCTGAAATAAGTTAAGCTAGGTTCACGATGCTATTAATATAATAATGTTAATGTCCAAAGAAAGATTCCAAATGGTTTCACTGAATTTAATGAAATAAAATAGAATTTGAAGATTAAATTTTGAATAAAAGTTCAATTTGAAATATGTATATCTTGATGAGTTTAAGGTTAATTGGGCCTAGTAGGCTATGCTGATTAAATGTCCAATGAAGATTAACTTAAATTTGTCCTTAGTTAAATAAGATGGATGATGGTTACCAAATTTGGAGTGTCTGTCTTCTTATAAATTGGTACTCTTCAATGCACTTGTCCAATACTTTTGGATGATGAGAAATTTAAATTTTAGGTTTTACTTTGGGATTATGAATTTTAGTTTAAATTAAACACAATTTCCAATAGAATGATGTTCACACTGTGAAGAGTTGGCAGGATCTGGGGAGAGGCAATGATAGAAGCTCAGGAAGTCCATGTCCATTGTTGAAGTGATGTACAGCTGGTTAATTTACATGAATGACACTTGCCACAGTAATTTTGATTTTCTTTGGATAATTTTGAAAAATAATACTATATTTAAGATGTTATTAATATATTGCAATTTTCTTACAATTCTATATTATTCTAAATAAATGATTATTGTTGGTTTTTGATGAGTACTTAATAGGTATGGAGAGAATTTGCATAAATATTATATTGTAACATAAAATAGGATGATGTTTCTGTGAGGTGATGGGATATTATATAACATTGAACAAAATTGGATAAAATAACACATTAACAAGAGGAACATATTAAATAACTGATAACACATTATCAGGGGCATTAACAGACATTATGGGAGAAAATATACAAAATAAAAGAGAAATTAATGTTAATGATGAATGAATGACATGTAATATTACAGGATGCATTCTTGAAGAAAAGGGATACTTTCTGAATGGAAAGAAAAAAAGTTGTAAAATCAAACCTTGTATTATACATTTCCATTCCAAACTCGTGCTGGAAATTCTTGCCTCTATGAAACTTTCCCAATTCTGTAATTGAGAACGACCCTTCTGAGTTTGAAAAAAATAATGCTATAATATGTTGTTTACATTAGACAGTAGAATAGCTTTTAGTGATCGATCCCAAGGATTCCTCTGATTTCAGGTGAACATTGTGGAAATTCCCGGTATCCTGGAGATACGCAAGCAGGTAGAGCGTCTGTTTCCATTCAATGATGCTTGCCAATGGTTTATTGACCGAGCAGACATCATCTTCCTAGTGTATGACCCCAGCAAGCTTGACGTCGGCCCTGAGACTGAGGCTATCCTTGACCAGCTCAAGGGTAGGGAGTACCAGGTAACTACCAACACTAACCTTACAATCTGAAGGTTGCCTATTCGTTCCGGGGAATAGTTCAGCCTAAAACTGGATCTAGCTGTCTTTAATCATTGGGATTTTAACATTTGGTCCTGTCCCATGAAGCAGCTGATTTGGGTTGGTAATAAAGCTACACAAGGCATGTAACTCATCCAACACTGATCTTCCTTTGTATTGCTGATTAA